ACAATAGAGCCTTGTTCTTTGCCATTTCCAATCATGGTATCCTGTTGCAAAATATTTCTTGTACCCAAGTGTAATGGTAATATGTTCACAAACTTGTCAATGCTACCCCTTCAAGAGGTGGAGTTGAGCCCTGGCCAGGTAGCTCATTTGGTTAGAGCATTGTCCTGACGGACCGGGGTTGTGGGTTTGCGCCCCGATCAGGGCACATGTGCCATACAGAATCAACCAGTGCATGCACAGATTAGTTGGAACAACAAACTGATCTTTCTCTCTCTCCCTCTTCCTCTTTCTCTCTCAGGTCAATAAATAAAAAGATGAAGTTTAATTACCTTCCTCTTGAGTGTGAGCTGGACTTAGCAATTCACTTCTAATGGTGTATGACTTTGAGACTAGATCATTAAAGTCATTTCAGCGTCCTTCTTGGTTTCTCATAGATTGCTTGCCCTTGGTTGCTATGTCATGAGAAACCAAATGCTGGTGGCTTTGTCATGAGAACCCTTGAACAGTCCTTTATCAACATGTCTATAAATTTAGGCCTCCAGCAAACAGTCACACAGAGGCGTCATCGAGGGGGGAGATCCTCCGGCCCTAATCAAGCCTTCAGGCGAGCGCAGCTCCAGCGAACACTTTGAATGCAGCCTCATGAGAGATGCGGAGCCAGGACTAAACAGCTAAGATGCTCTCATACCAATAACCCCATTTCTCTGCCTATGAGCCATTTTTTTCTTATGGAGTGAAATCTCAGTAAGATTCACAGGAGACCACAAAGTAACAGAATTATGTTGGCAGAGCACCACCAGCTTAGCCTGAAAATGGTTGATGTGGTACAAAAAGAAAAGAGCCATTTGGACCCCCAAATTCTTCTAGCAGGAAATAGGCTGAGAAAACTACACAGCTGCAAAAACAGCCTGCCTTTCATGAAAAAGGAAGGATGATTCAGAAGGTAGAACCAAAAGCGTAGCAGGCACAGCCATGGAGAATGTACAAACTGTTAATAAGCACGTGAGATTACATCTCAGGGAAGTGCATCAGGACGATACACATCAAAACCACAGTGAGATACAACTTCACACTTAGTAAGACGTAGAATTAAAAATGGAAAATAATATGGGTTGCAAGGATGTAGAGAAATTGGAACCCTCTTGCAGTACTAATGGGAGTGTAAAATGGGACAGTTGCTTTGAAAAACAGTCTGGCAGTTCCTCAAGAAGTTAAATATGTAGAGTTAACATGTGAGCCAGTAATTCCACTTCTAGGTATATACCCTAAAGAATGGAAAACTTTTGTTGAAAGCTTGTTCATGGCAACATTATTCTTAATAGCCAAAAGGTGAAACAACCAAAATGTCCATCAGTTTACAGATATACAAAATATGACATACCCCTACAATGTAATATTATTTAGGCATTAAAAGGAATGAAGAACTGATACATTTTACGACATGAATGAACCATGAAAACCTTACGCTAAGCAATAGAAGCCAGACACAAAAGGCCACATATTGTATAATTCCATTTATATGACATGTCCAGACTAGGCAAATTCAATGGAACAGAAAGTAGATCAGTAGTTGTGGAGGTTAAAGGGAATGGGGAGTGATTAGAATAATGAAAATGTTCTGAAAATTGCATAGTGGTGATGGTTGCAGTATATTTAGTAAATATAACATTTTTAAACCACTGAATTGTGTACTTTAAAAATGGTAAACTTTATGGTATGTTAATTACACCTTTAAAAAAATTATTTGTGGAGACTCACTCTTGGACAGAAATCATACTGAGTCCTAATGAAGGAAATTTCACCATTTTCCCAGCTGGACCTGGGAACTGCTATGGACCATTGACTCCTGTGTGCCTCTCAATTCCTGCCTTTTTAAACAGTAACATCTATGACAGTTATCTTCTGACTGTCCCACCGTTGTATCGATACGCAGGGGACGATGACTTGTCTCTTTAGTCACAGTTGTTCAGACTGAGAGGAACTGTACTTGAGAGGTTATATCCAAAGAGTCTCATCTGCACCTGGGTCTAATTTAGATGGTATATTATTGCTCTGGCTGCCATACAAATACCACAGACTGGGTGGTTTAAGCAACAGAAATTTACTTTCTCACAGTTCTGGAGGCTAGGAGTCCGAGGTCAACGTGTAGAGAGGCTTGGTTTCTTCTGAGACCTCGCTACTTGGTTGACAGATGGCCACCTTTTCACTGTTTCCTCACAAGGTCTTCCCTCCGTGCACACACGTCCCTGGTGTCTCTCTGTATTTCCCATTTCCCCTTCTTATAAAGGATGTCAGTCAGGTTGGATCAGAGCCCGCCCTCATGGCTTCATTTTATCTCAATTACCACAAATACAGCCATATTCTGGGGTACTGGGGATTAGGGCTTCCGCACATGATTTTGGGCGGGGGAGATATATTCAGCCCCTAACAGATGGCAAGTGTATTATACATTATTGAAACTTGATATTTTCCTGATGTTTCAACATCCCCTCAAACAGGCTGTGAACACCCCACTAGGTGACCAGGTGCACCAGTGTGATAAGGCTGGTTACTGCCACAGTTCCCTTCTTGCCATCTGCTCACTGTGACCTCTTGACATTCAAGTATACCAATAAAACGCCCTTATGCCTTTTGCTCGTGCACTCCACCCTGACCCCAGTAAAAGCACGTCCGTATGGGCTCTCACTCGCTCTTGGCTCCCCAGCTGCGTGATGGAGCACACCCCTCAGCACCCCTCCCTGCAGCTCCCCACATGGCATGCCAGACCCCCCTTCTAGGACCTGCGAGTAAATCCTCTCATTTCACATGCCTCTCTGTGGGTAACTTCTGTAGCCTTTAGGTGGAATAATCCTAAACACCCCATAAGGGGTCTTATTCCCCAGTTTATAACACAGCAAGATTCTGAACTTTCCGCTCATTGATGGGAGGAGATGAGATGAGACTTCGGGGCCCTTGGGAGAGATGAGTGTATTTTTCACGCGGGAGGAAAGTAAATAATTTGTGACCAGAGGCAGACGGTGATAGTTCTTGACATTATTCCCCTGGAGAGGCAAAGCTTATTGTCCCTCCCCTGAAGTGGGGGATGGACTTAGTGACTTGCTCCTAATAAAATGTGGCGGAAGTGACAGGATATTTCTTCCAAGACTCGGTCGTAAAGGGCACTGGAGCTTCCCCATCATCACTCGGATCGCTCACTCGAGAGAGAGTTGGCTCTGAACACTCACGCAGCCTGTGCAGGGGCCCTGTGGCGAGGGACAGAGGCTTCCTGCCAAACGCCATATGAGTGAATCATGTTGGGAGTAGATCTTCCAGGCTCATTTTAGCTTTCAGTTGACAGCAACCCCGGCTGACATCTTCACTATGACTCCTGAGGGACTCTGAGCAAGAATCATTCAGCTAAGCTGCTTCCGGATTCCTGACCCCAGAAACTATGTGAGATAATAAATATTCATTCTTTTAAGCCACTAAGTGTTGGGTTATTTGTTATCCAGAAATAAATCATATACTAGGTCTTTATAAAAAATGTTAGATTATACATACGCTGGGAGAGTGGCACCCTCTATTTCTTTGTCACCTGCCTAGCCTCTGCAGACATTGGCGTTTATGACGACTATGAAATCATACTCATTTTCTCCAATTAGAATGTATATATAAGACAGAGGTCATGACATCCCTTTCTTTTGTGTCCCTTCGCCCAGGATGACTAACTCAATAAGCTCTCCAATAAAACCTCGCTAGCTACCACAGGGGAGGAATATAAGGGAAACAATATGTAGCAATTTGTGGAATGTCTGTTGTACCTAATTTTCAAGCCTGTGTATTAGGTTTGCTGCTCAGAATATTTCCTTGGAACTTGGTTGGAAACTCCACAACTGCTGGTCAGGTATGATAAGAATAAGAATCTTAAGGGACTCAAATAGAAATCAACCAGACATAGTAGGTTGAACCATATGAAATTGCCAGCATTTAACTGCTGAAACAGCAGTATCATCTGGTTCAATAATAATACGGATATTTTTAACATACTCAATCCACTCACAATTTATCCCTTTCTGCGCAAGATGTCCGAATCCCAATAGTTATTGCCGGCACTGCCCGAGCTGGCTGCTGCCATGCCTTTGTGAGGCTGAGTTTATACGCAAATGGGCAAGTTGTCTTTTGATCTTAGGGCCCAACCCTAATGTTCTCCTTTCTTGTCCTTTTTTTATTCCTGTTGTTATAGTGTGAAAAAAAATGGGAGGCTCGGGTCTCAGAGAGCTGTAGCTGTAGCTGTCGGTGGCAGGGGGCGAGGAAGGGTGAAGGTGGTAAAATTAAAGCTGGTGGTCACGGTGGTGCTAGTGGGGGTGGAGGTGGAGGTGATGGAGGAGGTGCTGGTGCTGGCGGCATCCAGGCAGAGTGCTTTATGTGTTCTGTCCTCTGAGCTGGACTGGGCGTGGGGCTGCTGCCCAGGGCACATGATAAAACCATACCCTCTAGAGTGTTCTCAGTGTTTAACCCGCCTCTTACCCAAGGGCTATTTTGCTCTTGAACTCTTCACTGTGAATAATTATGTCATAAGTGATATCTCTCTCCTGATCATTCCTCCCTACCTACCAACAAATGTTGAGATGGGGAAACAAAGTTTGAAGAGGCTCAGCTCTTGAGAGGTCTTTGCTTGCGTACAAGTGTCCTGTAGGAGAGGCTGGGCAGGTTTGGGGACCGAACACGCCAGAAGGCTCCTCCATAGAAAGAACTTGAAAACAAATTAGTTCTTTCTCCCTTCCTCTCCCTCTTCAAGTTGTCTTGCCTCAACAACTGCCAGACATGATAAATAGGAGACAGATAATTTATTCCACATCACCCAAACTGTACGCAACGTAGGAACAAGGAAGAGAAGTCAAAATCCTCCCTTTCCAATCATGTGCAACGAGGAGGGCCAAACAACTTCACAGTTGTGGGGAAGAATGGGGAGGGCGATTCAGGTGAATGGACAGAACTTGGTGCCAGGCGTTCAGAAAAGGTTACAGAGATCCCTTCTCTTGCTCAGGATCCAGGACTCCTTTCTGGATGACAGAGATGTTTGAGACTATTGGGTCATTCAGAGAAATTGCCCTGGTACTGCTGCTGCAGGACACAGTGCCAGGGGAATGGCTCAAAATCAGACTCCAGAAATTTTTATTGTTGAAGTAGCAGAGGAACGCTGGGAAAGAGAAGGGCACGGGGGAGACAGGAGTCAGAGGGTGGAAGGGAAGTGCAAGCAGGGTGAGGCCAAAAAGAAGTCCATGGAAACCTATCGCTCTGGACTCCTGCCCTTTCTCCACACTTTTTTGGCCCTGACCCACCCACGTCCCCTCCGTCCCAGGCCCCTCCAGACCACTCACCACAGGTGACATAGAGGACAAACACCACCCAACCAATGAAATAGCTCCATCCAATGGGGATTGATAAGTTCCTCTTCAGCTCAAAGATCCAGACGTTAATAGGAAACAACAAGAGGGTGGAGAAAATGAAGGCAACTAGGAGACAGGAAGCAGAGATGTCATTCCCACCTAAGTGTCCCATAGCGCCTTTCCCTCATCTGCTGAGCGACAGCCACAAACCACAGCTCCCACCAGTGCACCCACAGCACACAGCCCCAGGGGTTCATGGGAATCAGTCCCTCCCTTCTGCCTCTCCAGTGACCAGAAAATGATGGAGATCAATTTCAGTCAACAAATACCAGTTCTACCACCACCCACAAAACCCATACCTCACTCCCAAAGAAAGGAAGAGGCAGAAGTGCCTAAGATTATGTGGGTTAGGGGACACTAAGGACCTTTCCCAGAGGTAGGGGGCACCTTCACAGAAGCTCATGATGGTCCCAATCCAGCCAAAGAAGGGCGATCTCTGCAGACCAGGCACGTACAGCAGGTGCAACCAAATGGTGAAGATGCAGCCCAGCACCAGGGCCAGACTGAAGGTTATCTTGGCCAACCCAAAGGCTGGGTGATTAGTCCACAGCTTAAGACTGTCTGGGGAAAAGGAGAAAATGGGATCAACTAAGGATTGACAATACACACAAGAGAATCAAATGAGCAAATATGAGAAAATTTTCAGGTCCATTAATAACCAAAGAAATGCACATTTAAGATAGCAATAAAATATCCCTTTCACTTATTAAACAGGCAGTGGTTTGTCTCTTGGGATCCAGATCCGACCTACTTTGCAGTAAAATGGCTAAACGAACCAAGAAAGTCCGAATCATCAGTAAATACGGCACCCGTTATGGCGCCTCCTTCAGGAAAATGGTGAAGAAAATTGAGATCAGCTAGCACGCCAAGTACACTTGCTCCTTCCGTGCAAATCCAAGATGGAGAGGCGAGCGGAGGGGACTGGCACTGTGGCTCCTGCATGAGAACGGTCGCTGGTCGCGCCTGGACCTACACCATCGCCTCTGCTGTCGCAGTCAAGTCTGCCATCAGACTAGAGGAACGGAAAACCCGGTAGAAGCTCCACAGTTAGAAGCATTGCTCGCCAATGATAGATGAGCTAATTTATGTAAGAAAATTACATTGGTTTGTTAATTTTATTAAGTAGATATTCTTGTTTACATTATATTAATTTTGCTTTCTGGAAAAAAAATAAACAGGGAGTGGTTTTTGATGGAGATTGTTTGATAATCCTAACCCATATAAAAAACAAACTTATCAATCAAAAAAAACAGGGAGGGAAGTTGAACTGCAATTCTCAAAAGCACAAATCTGAATGTCCAATAAACACATGAAGCTCAACATAAAGAATTGCAAATTAAAAGTGACATTTTAAATCTATTATATTAGCAAAGATCGGAACAAAAGTGATGATGTCTGACATAGGGGAGGGTTGCGAAGAGAAAGAGGTGCTCTCACACACGGCTAGCGGGCGGTACTTCCTGGGGAGTGACACAGCACAAGAAAACCAAGACCCTGAAAAGTCCTAAATGCATCTTTTTGGAATTTACATTTAAGGAAATAATCCAAGCTATGCACCAGAATAGGTATTTGTCCAACAAGAGATTTGTTAAGTAAATTAGAGTGCACCCACACATTGGGTTATTATGTGTTCATTAAAAGTGGCGATGTGACAGAAGACTGTCCCGAACAGTGTCTCTAGGAATACAGGGGAAGCTGGGGAGGCAGCCTGGAAGCTGGAGGTCAGGGGTTCGCGTCACTCTGGAATCTTCTGTATTTTTTGAGGTTTGACTCTGTTTATATACTACCTAATCAGATAAATTTTAAACATAGGTGACGCTATAGAATAATTGTTTAATGATATAAGCAAATGAAAAGTGGAGTTTGCAACATAGGGCATGTAGAATGGTTCTAATTTCTTAAAAAGTATATGTTTATTGAAATAAAAATAAATAACAACTGAATTGTACCCCTGAAACCTATATAATTTTATTAACCAACGTCACCCCAATATATTCAATAATAAGTAAAAAAATAAAATAAAAAATATGTATCTCTTTATTTGTATTTATTTTATGTATACATACACACAAAAGACTGGAATTATATCCATTATAATGCCAATTGTGATTATATCTGTGTGGGGAAATTTTAGGTGATTTTTATTTTCTTTTTTAAACTTTCTGCATTTCCCACAATAACTATGCAATGTTTTTTAACTTTATTTTGTTAAAGATTTTATTTATTTATTTTGAGAAAGAAGGGGAGGGAAGGAGAAAGAGAGGGAGAGAAGTATCGATGTGAGTAAGAAACATCGATAGGTTGCCCCTTGTATGTGCCCGACCAGGGACTGAACCTGCAATTCAGGCATGTCCTCTGACTGGGAATATAACTGGTGACATTTTGCTCCACAGGACAAAGCCCAACAGAGGCACACCGGTCAGGGCTGTGCTACTATTTTTTAATTTAAAAAAATTATGTATTTAGCCCTGGCTGGTGGCTCAGTGGATTGAGTGCCCGCCTCTCATTTGAGGGAACCAAAGGGTCGCTGGTTTGATTCCCACTCCGGGCACATGCCTGGGTTGCGGGCCAGGTCCTCAGCAGGGATGCATGAGAGGCAACCACACATTGATGTTTCTCTTCCACCCTTTTTCCTTCCCTTCCCCTCTGTCTAAAAATAAATAAATAAAATCTTTTAAACATTACGTATTTAAATTTAATATATATTTAAAGTTAACAGTCATTGCTGGTAAAGGTACAAGGAAACAAACCTTCTCATACATTATTAGTGGAAATATAAATTGCTATCATACTTTTTTAAAGCAACATGGAAAATGTTATTAAAGACCTTAAACTATTTATACTGTTTTTATAGTTGGCAGTTAGACCTGGGAGAGCAAGGATGATGGGCCAGGTCAGAGGGTCACCAGGGCAGAAAGCCCTGGGTGCCTAGCAACAAGCAAAACTGGGAAAACAAAGGCGCCATCCCCAGGGTGACCTTTTCTCCCCTCGCATTCACTGGCCATGTGCTTTGGACCCTCCCCTGATTTTTCCTCCCCTGGCATGGTGCCAGTCATGTGGGTTAGACCCCCTTAGAGGGGGAAGAATAAGGAGGCTGGAGAATAGCCCTGAAGCCCCAGGACAGTGAGGTTCTGACCCGCATCAAATACATCTATATCTCAGTTGTGTTTCAGCTCCAGGCCCAGAAAAGCAGAAAAACCAGACAAGCAAAGCCATGGCGGACATCAGGGCCAGCTGCACTGACTAATGACCTCCTGCTCTGGCACCAACCAATCAGTGGAAACCACAACACTGAAAGGACCTGGAAACGCACCTGGAAAGCTGATGTGTATTCTACTGGGATTCTCCCTGAGGCTTCCAGATAAATCCCATCAAGCATAGCACCCAGCAGGGCTCACTCTATGGAGCCCACCCGTGCCTTTCCCACCCGCTTTCCCCGGGGTTGTTTTTTTTCACCTAAGCACCAAGGGCCCTTCTTTTGCCTCTGTAACTTGTTTCCTGAGCCCATTTCTTCTACAGCTCACCTCTTCTACCTCTGTGACTTTCTAAGTCAACTTTCTCTTACAGTTTGAGTCTTGGCTCTGAATTCTTTCTTAGCCAGAACGCAAGTACCAAGACTCCTAAACCAAGATCCCGTCTCACCCCACTGGCCTACCCCCTGGTGCTGTTTCACCACCAACAATTTGATCCAGTAAACCCACTTTGGGGAATCTATGCCAAAGAATTAATATTAAATACAGAGAAAACCTTATGATTGATAAATTCTGTTGCTCCCATTTTCCTCAAATAAGAAGTTAGAAATAAATTAGTGAGGAATAGAAAAATAAAATAGTCAAGTAAGAGGTGATACATTTATGAAATTGAACACTACAGTCACTTAACAAAAAGTTTATTATACCTCATAAAGATAAATTTTAAAATAATATAGATTAAATAAAATAATTTAAAATATGTAATTATTTATGAAGAATGAATTCAACTATGTAAGTCATTAAAAATTTGTTCAATTTTTTTTTAAGCTTGGGAAAAACTGAGTGCTCAACACATTGCTGCTAGTGGCTGTTTTTGAATAGCTCTATGGAGCAAGTTAGGTGCTTACGTGAGTTTTGGAGCCAGACACACCTGAGTTATAATTGTAAACATGCCATTGTTAGGTTGATCCAGATGAATTTGCTCTTTTTTATAGGTGAAAAGCAGTCAAATATTGGCCATTTCATGTGGTTCAACCTAACATCTTTACAACCATGAGCAAGGTACTTAATCTGAGTCTTAATTTTCTCATCTGTAAAATAAGGTTAATTGCCCCATCGCTGTTGATTGATGATTAAAATGAGCAAACAGAGTAAGTGTGCAATAAACGATAGTTTTTGTTTCCCCAAATGTTGTAATAAGAGTGCGTGTATTGCCCTGGATGGCGCGGCTCAGTGGATTGAGCACTGGCCTGTGAACTGAAGGGTCGCTGTTTCAGTCCCCCGTCAGGGCACACGCCCGGTTGCAGGCCAGGTCCCCAGTTGGGGGCATGGGAGATGCACCTGATTGATGTTTCTCTCACGCACATCGATGTTTCTCTCCCTTTTTCCCTCCCTTCCCCTCTCTCTGAAAATAACTAAATAAAATCTTTTTTTTTTAAAGAGTGTATTACTTTCATAATGGAAGAAAATAGCTATGTAACTTAAAAAAAATGTTAGTAAGAATGAAGAAATGGAAATGGGCAGGGGATGGGGTCAAAGGCTCTGGTTTCCACAAAACCTGAGAACAGAGGCCCAACCCTGGCAAGTGAGAGGGCAGCAGGATGTGGGGTTCACAAGAAAGGGAATGGAGCAGCTGCAAGAAGCCAGGAAGGGGAGGGCTGGAAAACCAGCTGTGGGAACCCAGAGCTGGCCCAGAAAAGCGACGCTGTAGAAGCCTAAAGGAAGAACAGCGGCCGTGACCAGGGCCTGGGGGAGAGCCCTCGGGACTCCTCCCAAAGCTCTGCGTACACGAGCCTAGAGGAAGGAAATGCCACCTCAATGGGTCTTCCCTCCCAGGAGAAGGGCGAATTCTGTGATTAGTGAGCGATTCACATGCACCGAGAGTCCAGGCCTCTCACAACATTTTTATAAGAACAGACTTGGCTGCAAGCCTTATCAAAGCAGTAACCCTTGCCATTGGGTCAGGCAAACCAGTCTGGCCAGGCAGGGAGAGCAAAAATGATCCTTGGTGCCAGTCTCGGTGCCCGTCATCTTACTGGCCCACACAGTGAGGGTGACCAGAAGGAGGGTAAATGGAGAGGCCAAGGCAGGCTGGAGGCCGCAGGGAGGGGGCTCACCTTCGCTGTCGTCTGAGCCGGGACAGCCCTCAGACCTGCAGATGTGCAGGAGCCCCATGGACATGACAACAGCTGATGTGTAAATTCCGTTACTGGCGTTTGCGGGCCAGCGCTGGTAGAAGCGGATCGAAGGCAGGCACAGCCATTTCGTAGAGAAGGCCATGATCAGCAGCAGGATGAAGGCGATCAGGCTGAGCCCGGAGGCTAGCGCCTGCCTCGTGCACTCAGAAGTGTGTTTAATTATCCATTGGAGGGGCAAAGGAGAGACCCAGTTGTGCGTCACAGGGGACTGCCTGTTTTTGGTGGGGGCAGAGACGAAGTTCCGCAACCCCTCTTCTTGTCCCAGGCTCATCACTACCCCATCTACCTTTCCAGCCCTCCCCTTCCTTGCCAGGCTTCTAATGCTCATCCCTCTCTCCTCCTGACCCGGGGAACTCACCCCAATGTCCCCTGTCCCCGTGTCGAGCATCCTCTTTGTCCTCCTTCTATCCTCCACCCCATCTCTCTCTTTCCTTTCTTGGCTCACCTGTCCCTCATCTTCTAAACATTTTCATCAGGTAGAGCAGTTGCCACCACAGGGCCTGAGATCTGGAAAAGAACGACCCATTCAGCGGGACAGGGCCCCTAACTGCCGTGGAATATTCTGGGGAGGGGGGCAGTCAAGTGAGGGAGGGGGCCCACAGCTTTGGCTCCAACTCTTTCTCAACCCCCTGCTTCTCAGGCCCCAGCTCAGAACTGTGGCTATGACGCCTCCCTTCACCTAAGAGCAACGGGCTCTGAGAGTCTCCTTTTCTCTTTCCATTTCGTCTGCCCTAACACCAGCCCCAAATACTCACCAATGGAGCAGGAGGAGGGAGAAGAAGTTTATCCCCAGGAAAGCACTTGCACGTGTTTCCAGAGGTGTAACCGACCTTCTTGCTACTTCCCCCAACGCCTTCACCCCTCTCTCCCACCGCCACTCACTTCCAGGCAACAGTTGCCATTCCCTTCCCTCTTCTTTCTTTTTACTTTGTTTACTCAGCCTCAGAAGGGGGAGGACATAAGATAAGGACAGGTTACATGGGTGTTATGCAGCCCGAAATTTTTTCTAATCTCCCTTTTAAGTTACAGGAAAAGAAATCTGAGTCGCCTGTGACTTTTCAAATCAACAGATGAACAAAGCCCAATCATAGTGGCTTCCAGATCGCAGTTAGACTCTGGAATTCTCATGAGGTTAGCAAGCCTTTCAACTGTGGGGTATAGATTTGAATCCCACCAGAGCTGGCTTACTTTGTGGAGACAATGATACATGTGGTTAAGCACGCAGACTTCAGGGTTCAAAAGGCAGAAGCATGAACAGTGGACCCTCCTCATAATAGCCTTGTGAATCTGGATGAGTCATATAGCTTCTTTGTGCCTCAGTTTACACATCTGTAATAAAGGGACATTAATACTTGTCTCAGACTTGGTTTGAGTGTTGAATGAGATAATGAATAAAAAGCACTCTTTGCTTCACAGTAAATTCCCAGAAAGTGGTGGTTGTTATTGTTAAATTATCATTTTAATTGTTTTTGCACTCTTTCACTAGCAAATGGAGATGGAACAAAAACACAGATGTTTTGGGCAGACATCCTTGAATATTAGTAGCTGCAAAGGATAAGACAGAACCTAAATTAATTTAAGCAAAAAGGGAGTTAATCACGGATCCTGAGATCATGTGCAGAGCTGGACCTCAGGAACGGCTGGAATCAGGAATTCATACCCTGGCCGCCCAAGATCACGGTGCAGTCGTGGTCGGCATGGTCAGGGGAGGCCCCACTTCCAAGGTGCAGGCTTTTTGCTATGTGTCTTCACGCGTGGAAAGGGAGCTCTGTGGGATCTGTCTTATAAGGGTGCTAATCCCACCCATGAGGGTTCCACCTTCGTGACCTAATCACCTCCCACAGGCTCACATCCTGATACTATCAACTTGATGGGTAGTTTGCCAACATATGAATTTGGGGGCCACAAAGATTCTGGCCCTAGCACTCTGATCCTGGTCTTGCTTCTCCTTGAACATCTTGCTCTTCCTCTGCAGAGCAACCTTCTCCGCTCCTCTGGTCCACATAGTAAGAAACATGGCCCTTATACCCAAGCTATCTACCACTGGCCGTCAGAGAAGGGACCTCTCAGTCTCAAGCCCAGACACTCTTTGGCCCTGCCAGGGACAGGTGTCGTCCCTAAAACAATCAGCCATGATCAGGGGCTCCCGAATCTGGAAGCTGACCCACAAACTAATGACAGGTAGGGAGCTAGTGAACAACTCCCTAGCCATGTCAGCCATAGGCTGGGGTAACTCTGAGGCGTGTTCTACACGAGGAGGGAGCAGTGATGAAAGAGGGGAGCGCTGAGCCCCCTGGGAATGGCATTCACGCAGAGCTAGTGATCATCAGGATTGTGTTTCCTTCCTTGCAGCTGTTTTAGTTTTTTCCTGGAGTTTCTAAGAATTTCTAATCATAACAAATAGTCCTAACAGCAACACAAAACAATGGGGCAGGATCTTGGAAATACAACATTTTCTGAAAAACGGAATTCCAAGAAAAATACACCATAAACATGATACCATTTTTATAGAGCTCATAAACAAATACAACTAAACAAATCACTGTATGCATACACACTATTATGATTGCATGGCTGTTTTTCGTTTGTCTTCTTTTTTTTTTTTTTAAGCAGGGAATGATAAACACAAAAAATAATACTGTCTGTTTCTCTGGGGAAGCTGGGGAATGGGACAGGGAAGATTACACAGGCACATACACATTAGTGGCAATAGGTTACTGGTTCCTGATTTGGGTGAAAGGTACGTGCGTAGTCATTATATTAGAATCATTTATAACTAACATATTTCGTATAAACCTGTGAATGTATAAAAAACTGTTTTTCAAAAAGTAATTAAAAGAATTCCAGAAAGGAAATGTAATCTTAGTGGTTACTAGGTCTGCACTGAAAGATGTTTATAAGTCACAATATGTAAGCTAAACACTGTTAATTGAGTTTCAACTTTTCGAATCAACAGATGGACAAAGCACGGAAGACTTAACTATAGCTGCAAAAGTAAACAGAGCTGTTATCAGCCTTGATGTTGCCCAAGTAAAAGCCTAGAAGAGGTAAGCTGGAAGGTGGAAAGAGGAGAGCTGCAGGGAAGGGAGTGGGACCTGCCAAGAGGGTCTCTACAGAAGGTTGTACAAGAGGCGCTCTGCACACGAGCACACAGCGGAGGGGCGAGTGAGGACTGAACTCCCGTCTGCATTCCGCCTGACCAACCAGGCCCTTCTAAGGGAGCTCCCCTGGCCAGGAGGATGAGGCCCTTTGTTCTATATTTTATAAAGGTGCTGCTCCCACCAAGCCATGAACCACTGCATCTATTCAGGACTGTCTTTTAACCACCAGGTGAAAGGCAGAAAGGTGCCGTATGGACTAGCGGCAGTACCAGCCAACTATCTTGTGGGGCTGTGTATCAGTGAGAATTCCTCGCTTGCAAGCACAAACCCAAACTCAGTTAGGCAAAAAGGAATGTACTGGGGCGACACTGAGTAAACACAGACTCAGAGAGGACGCTGAACATCTAGGCCTAGAGCTAAACGGGAAACAGAGGAACATGGGAAAGTGGATGCTCTGACTGGCAACCCCCCGGAACCACATGGACTTGGGGAAGAATAGTTCCCCAGAAGAAAGGAAGCCAAGCATTCAAAAATTAATGATAACCTGCTCACACAGGTACGAAGCGCAGCCAGAAGACGGTGCAAGGCTATGAGGTTTCCCAGAAGGAAACTGCCCACCGTTCCATCAGCGAGGGCAGACGCCTGCACGTCCCTTCCGGGATGCGGCCTCTCCATGACTGCGGGCAAGGCTGACCGGGAGAACACGGACCTGGGCTTCCACAGCCTTAGTGGCCACTCCTTGATTGTCCGTGTGGACTTGATCTGCTGCCTGCATGACACTCAGAAACAGTCCCACTCCAGGCCAACTCACCCCAGTACATATGTCAGTGTGAATCTGCTCTGCGGCAAGCTCCCAGGCCCCCAGCATTGCTAGGATATTTCAGTGGCCAGAGCCCACAGGCTCCGAGGTCCCCTGTCTTTTGCATCTGGGAAAGAATGCATTGTTCTTTTATGTGAGCCGGTTGGTGGTGGTGTGTTCCCCAAACTCTAATGTGTACGCTGATGACTTGGCCATCTCCTTAAAGGGCAGGCATCTCATCTGCACTGGCTCCCGGGCTGGGCGAGCAGCCGAGGATCATGCGCTGAGTCAGGAGGCTGGAGAACACCTGGGGAGCTGGGCCGTCTCCCCGGAACGTCCCAGCCTATAGGGGTTGGGCACACAGAGAAGCGAAGTAGGGACCTGCTTGTCGGTGTGCGTCCTGTTCACTTGGCTCTGCCTCTGCCTCTGTGGGAAATTTCTTTGCCTTTTATATACCAACTGAACAAAAGTGCGAAGAAAACCAAACTGCTGCCAAAAAACAAAGCAAAAAAGTGCTGCAAAATGAAGAATTTCTGCCACAGACCGGGAAAAAATGTTTTTGAATCATATATCTGATAAAAGAATTATCCAGAATGTATAAAGAACTCTCAAAACACAATAATAAGAAAATAAACCGCCCAGTTTTTAGAAGGCCAAAAGATTTGGACACTTCACCAAAGAAGATATGCAAGTGGCCAATAAGCCCATGAAAAGATACTCAGCACATTGTCAACAGGAAAACACAAATTAAAACCGCAATGAAATACAATTATACACCTATTAGAATAGCAAGAAAAGCAAATAAATTAATTTTCTGGGTTTTTACGTTGTTCATTGTGTTTCTTAGCTTTTGAAAATAAGTGATTTTTGTTTTCAGGTTTTAAGACTTTTCATTTGCATGTTTAAAAAAAAGTGCATTCCAATAATTAAAATCATTTTCACACACACACAAAGGGGAGGGGCACTCCGGTTAAACTACATCTGTCCCGCCCACGTTCTTCCCTCACCAACATGCAAGTCCTTCTCCTTCCCCGCCAGCCAGAGAGGCAGGTGGGAGACCGGTGCGGCCTTCATAGCCAGTAGTTCTCTGACGTGAAACGGGGCACCCAGTCGTTTAAACTCATCCAGCCTCTTTGCGTCTTACAAAGCTGAGCCCCTAAAAGAAGTGGAATAAGAAGGCAATGCTTGTGGACTGTACAGTGCCTGTTGGCGGAGAGGACGATTCGCCTGCTTGCTTCTCCTGGTCAATCGTTTCTTCGGAAGGCAGTGGGTTTTTCTCTTGCGTTTCTGTCGTCTTCACTTTCGGCTTATCGAATTTCTCAATCTCGGCCCTGTCGGACTTATCAGACATGGTTGCGGAGGACGCTGAGCGATCTGCTCAGTGAATGCCGCCGCGAGGTGTGATTTATTATTTTGATCATTCTAAATAAAAACTCATTTTTGTCCCCTATTTTTAATTCATATTTTGTATTCTTTCTCTTTAGAAGGACGCCGTAAAATCTGAATTCAACCCCAACCCCTTCCCACTCAAGGCAACTTCAGATTTCCCAAGACGGATGGAGTGGGAAAGGCTTCAGAAGGGAGGGGGGGTGTGATTCCGGGGGGCTGGGGGCAAGGGGGTAAGCCGCCTAGTGGAAAGGGGAAAGCAGAAAACTAGGGGCAGGGAGCGGGGAGAGGGGACTCCGAGTCGGGTGTGCTGGGTGCACCGCAGACCCTGCGAGGTGGGGGAGGGGTGGGGGCGCCAAACCCGAGGGGCCTGGTCACGCCCCGACGGCGAAGGGCGTCCAGGTTGGATAAGAGCGAAACCTCCGGGAGTTGTTTCCCTTTGCTCCCTTTGCTCTCATCGCTCCGCCTCGGGCCGCTGGACGGTGGAGAGTGGGTGGCTTGGAGACGGGGCGCTGGGGAGCA